TAGTAACAACAATCATGTGTATTCCCGATAGGCTGCAAAGCTTTATGTTTAGATATCATCGAGGGCTTGCTCAACTTGTAACAACAATCATGTGTATTCCCGATAGGCTGCAAGGCTTTATGTTTAGATATCACTGAGGGCTTGCTCAACTAGTAACAACAATCATGTGTATTCCCGATAGGCTGCAAGGCTTTATGTTTAGATATCACTGAGGGCTTGCTCAACTAGTAACAACAATCATGTGTATTCCCGATAGGCTGCAAGGCTTTATGTTTAGATATCATTGAGGGCTTGCTCAACTTGTTAACATCAATCATGTGTATTCCCGATAGGCTGCAAAGCTTTATGTTTAGATATCATTGAGGGCTTGCTCAACTAGTAACAACAATCATGTGTATTCCCGATAGGCTGCAAGGCTTTATGTTTAGATATCATTGAGGGCTTGCTCAACTAGTTAACAACAATCATGTGTATTCCCGATAGGCTGCAAGGCTTTATGTTTAGATATCATTGAGGACTTGCTCAACTAGTAACAACAATCATGTGTATTCCCGATAGGCTGCAAGGCTTTATGTTTAGATATCATTGAGGGCTTGCTCAACTTGTTAACAACAGTCATGTGTATTCCCGATAGGCTGCAAGGCTTTATGTTTAGATATCATTGAGGGCTTGCTCAACTTGTTAACATCAATCATGTGTATTCCCGATAGGCTGCAAGGCTTTATGTTTAGATATCATTGAGGGCTTGCTCAACTTGTTAACAACAATCATGTGTATTCCCGATAGGCTGCAAGGCTTTATGTTTAGATATCATTGAGGGCTTGCTCAACTTGTTAACAACAATCACGTGTATTCCCGATAGGCTGCAAGGCTTTATGTTTAGATATCATTGAGGGCTTGCTCAACTTGTTTACAACAGTCATGTGTATTCCCGATAGGCTGCAAAGCTTTATGTTTAGATATCATTGAGGGCTTGCTCAACTTGTTAACAACAATCATGTGTATTCCCGATAGGCTGCAAGGCTTTATGTTTAGATATCATTGAGGGCTTGCTCAACTTGTTAACAACAATCACGTGTATTCCCGATAGGCTGCAAGGCTTTATGTTTAGATATCATTGAGGGCTTGCTCAACTTGTTTACAACAGTCATGTGTATTCCCGATAGGCTGCAAAGCTTTATGTTTAGATATCATTGAGGGCTTGCTCAACTTGTTAACAACAGTCATGTGTATTCCCGATAGGCTGCAAAGCTTTATGTTTAGATATCATTGAGGGCTTGCTCAACTTGTTAACAACAGTCATGTGTATTCCCGATAGGCTGCAAGGCTTTATGTTTAGATATCATTGAGGGCTTGCTCAACTTGTTAACAACAATCATGTGTATTCCCGATAGGCTGCAAAGCTTTGTGTTTAGATATCATTGAGGGCTTGCTCAACTTGTTAACAACAGTCATGTGTATTCCCGATAGGCTGCAAAGCTTTATGTTTAGATATCATTGAGGGCTTGCTCAACTTGTTAACAACAATCATGTGTATTCCCGATAGGCTGCAAGGCTTTATGTTTAGATATCATTGAGGGCTTGCTCAACTTGTTTACAACAGTCATGTGTATTCCCGATAGGCTGCAAAGCTTGATGTTTAGATATCATTGAGGGCTTGCTCAACTTGTTAACAACAGTCATGTGTATTCCCGCTAGGCTGCAAGGCTTTATGTTTAGATATCATTGAGGGCTTGCTCAACTTGTTAACAACAGTCATGTGTATTCCCGATAGGCTGCAAGGCTTTATGTTTAGATATCATTGAGGGCTTGCTCAACTTGTTAACAACAGTCATGTGTATTCCCGATAGGCTGCAAAGCTTTATGTTTAGATATCATTGAGGGCTTGCTCAACTTGTTAACAACAGTCATGTGTATTCCCGATAGGCTGCAAGGCTTTATGTTTAGATATCATTGAGGGCTTCCTCAACTTGTTAACAACAATCATGTGTATTCCCGATAGGCTGCAAAGCTTTATGTTTAGATATCATTGAGGGCTTGCTCAACTTGTTAACAACAGTCATGTGTATTCCCGATAGGCTGCAAGGCTTTATGTCTAGATATCATTGAGGGCTTGCTCAACTTGTTAACAACAGTCATGTGTATTCCCGATAGGCTGCAAAGCTTTATGTTTAGATATCATTGAGGGCTTGCTCAACTTGTTAACAACAGTCATGTGTATTCCCGATAGGCTGCAAGGCTTTATGTTTAGATAGCATTGAGGGCTTGCTCAACTTGTTAACAACAGTCATGTGTATTCCCGATAGGCTGCAAGGCTTTATGTTTAGATATCATTGAGGGCTTGCTCAACTTGTTAACAACAGTCATGTGTATTCCCGATAGGCTGCAAGGCTTTATGTTTAGATAGCATTGAGGGCTTGCTCAACTTGTTAACAACAGTCATGTGTATTCCCGATAGGCTGCAAGGCTTTATGTTTAGATATCATTTGAGGGCTTGCTCAACTTGTTAACAACAATCATGTGTATTCCCGATAGGCTGCAAGGCTTTATGTTTAGATATCATTTAGGGCTTGCTTAACCTGTTAACAACAATCATGTTTAAGCCCCGGCTTTCTTTTCAAAATGGTAGCTACGCCCCTGACACAGACTTAACTTGGAGAAGCTCATTTTATCGTTACTTGAAAATATTTCACCATAAGAATTAATTGTCTGTTGTTCGCCTTTTGTATCATTCATGAAGCACGATGGATGCCCTATCTAAGGTTAAAACACAGGAAGGAAATGAACAAGGATGTATGACAAACCTCTAGTTATTCGCAGGCTCACTGAATATATGTGCTACTGAAAAGACACGAGTTTTTCATATGATTATATATAGTTCATCAGTCATAGCTTCGTTTCTAGGGGGGGGCGGTGGGGTAGCCTAGTGGTTAAAGCGTTGGCTCGTCACGCCGAAGACCCGGGTTCGATTCCCCACATGGGCACAATGTGTTAAGCCCATTTCTGGTGTCCCCCGCCGTGATATTGCTGGAATATTGCTAAAAGCGGCGTAAAACTAAACTCAGTCAGTCGTTTCTAGGTACCCGTGAAGGTCCGGGTTAGAATATTGATCTTCAGTAACCCATGCTTGTCGTAAGAGACGACTAACGGGATCGGGTGGTCAGGCTCGCTGACTTGGTTGACACATGTCATCGGTTCCCAATTGTGTAGATCGATGCTCATACTGTTGATCACTGGATTGTCTGGTCCAGACTCGATTATTTACAGACCGCCACCATATAGCTGGAATATTGCTGAGTGCGGCGTAAAACTAAACTCACTCACTCACTCACTCGTTTCTAGGTATAACATATATTCCTCTCTGTTTCCTACTGGCTGAGGTGTATATTTGACCACGCACCTGCGGGAGAGCCTACTTGTATATCGATCGGTTTACTGTACGATGTGAGTGCGTTCATTGTGACCTAGGACATGGATAGGTGCTCATGCTTTCGGTCACCAGTTTGCCAGACTCGATAGTTTACTGGCCGCCGTGATATGGCTGAAGCAGGCTGACCGTGGCTTCAGAAAAAGAAACTGAAAACCAGTGTGGGAAAGTACGTTAACTAAATGTGTTTGTGTGTGTATGTCATAATGATACGTTTTCACCAATTCCGACGCTCGTAAAATCTCACACACTCATTCAATGTACTTCTTACGTCCTACAGAATGAAAACAGTCAGGGCAATGGAAAAACACAAGGTGACCTGGCGGAGAGGAAAGGGCCACCACTTGGGTACTGTCGTTGTGTACTATCTGCTTCTTAGTGAGTAAGGGTTTACTTCGCTCTTAACATTATTTCAACAATATCAACCATTGTACCAATGTGGGGAATCAAACCCGGGTCTATTTGACGAGCGAACACTTTAACCACTAGGCTACCTCACCGCTCTTCATCCTTCAGTGACCCGTGAAGATCCGGGTAGAATAGATCTTCAGCAACCGACCCGTGAAGATACGGGGTAGAATAGGTCTTCAGCAACCCATGCTTGCCACAAAAGGCGACTATGCTTGTCGTAAGAGGCGACTAACGGGATCGGGTGGTCAGGCTCGCTGACTTGGTTGACACATGTCATCGGTTCCCAACTGCGTAGATCGATGCTCATGCTGTTGATCACTGGATTGTCTGGTCCAGACTCGATTATTTACAGACCGCCGCCATATAGCTGGAATATTGCTGAGCGTAAAATAAACTCACTCACTCATCCTTCAGTGGGGGCGGTGGGGTAGACCACTGGTTAAGCGTTCGCCCGTCACGCTGAACATCCTGGTTCGATTCACCACATGGGTGCAATATGTGAAGCCCATTTCTGTTGTCCCCCACCGTGATATTGCTGGAATATTGGTAAAAGCGGCGTACAATCATACTCACTCACTGATCCTTCAGCCTCTACTTAACAGCTACAGAGCATCAGAATGAAAACAGTTCTTTTGCAGCAAATTTTGTGTATTACTAATATATACAACCGAGTTAAAGGATTTAGCGTGTCTGTCGTGCAGAGGGTCACCTGAAGGTATGTAGATAGAGTGTATACGATACTATCTATACAAGGCATGTGGCTGTATTAACTAGCGGTCGTACTCTGAATACCAATAGATTATCAAGTCACGACATCATGCTATACTTTCAATGAGAGGGAAAAGAATCTGGTGAAGTGTTTATGTTGTTGTCAAGGGTGAAATATGGACAGCAGCTCAAAGCCTCTAGATCTAGACAACGAAAGTCAATCATTGGCCAGGACGGTTCTACATTCAATTGTGCTACACATGTACACGCATGGGTCGCCATTGTCTGTTCTCTGGTTGAATAGGGTGTCATTGTAGCCGTGTTTTCAAGGCAATTAACCACGAATCTCGCACTCCGTTTACCCATACAGCTGAGGAGCAATAAAGGCTTCTGATTGTTTCCTAGCCTAGAGTCTCTCTTGCCCAGGGGACGAGGTAGATGTTTGGGTGAGACTATGGCAGACATAGCTTCCCGGGTTTGGCTCGGTGTCACTTTGGTTCTCATTGCTGTGGTGTCGCTAGTTGTCAACATAATAGTCATAGTTGTGTGGGTTAAAACCCAGAAACTCCGAGATCCCAAGTACTATTTCTGGATTAACCTAGTTGTGGTGGATATCATCGGAATATGTATGTGGACATCCTTGTCCGTCACGGCCGTCGTCGGCGATGCATGGATCCTACCAGACGTCGTCTGTAACGTCCACGCGTACTTCTCCACCTTCTGCAACGTCATCAACCTTCACACACTCACAATCCTGGCCCTGGAGAGGTTTCTGAAGTTCTTCAAACCGTCTAAACATGAAGACATATGCATCGGGTTCTTCCTGATTCTTCTTATATGCGGCGTGTGGTTCTTTGATGGTGTCGTCTGCGTCTTCACGGCCATTCATTGGGCGCAGGTGAGATACTACCAAGCCCAGTATCAGTGCATCCCGGAGCACCAGCTCAGCACCTCGCACCTGAACTTCATGTTTATACTGTCATATGGAGTTCCTCTTGTTGTCATGGTCGCGACTTACACGGCATGTTTTATAAAGGTCATCCACATGCGGAGTCGTGTCCAACCAAAAGGAGCCCTGGTGTTGGAGACCAACAAGAGCGCCAAAGGAGACTCGTACTCAGAGAGGATGAAGCGATACACTGACAAGTTTCAGAACGCAGGAATGAAAAACAAGAAGCCCAAGTTGGAGAAGACGTACGACTACACTAAAGATGGCTACGTCGTGAAGTCGGACACTGAGGACGACGTTCAGCCGAGTGATACTAAATCTAGGTTCAAGAAGAAGGAGTATTCACTGGCTAAAGAGGATTACATGCTACTGAAGGTTTACGTCATCACTTCTTGTGCTTACGTAGGCACGTGGATACCTTACGTCATCAGCAGTTATGTGTGGACGTACTCCCGGTTCAGCCCTCTGCCGGCTGGTGTGATTACCTCCCTCGTGTGGTTGTCCCACTGTGGCGCGTTCGTCAAGCCGCTTGTATATGGACTGTGTTTTGAGAAGTTCAGGTCACGTTTACTGACTGTGTTGAGGAGGCAGGAGACGTGACCAAACAAATATACAGTCACGCTTTTGGACCCGACAATCAAACATATGATGGAATGCATTTATTACACATTTATTCACAGTCAGGTGAAAGGTTCTGTTTCATACAGTTTACGTTTAATTCTGGTTGGATGGTTTTACACAGACGCCATGTTTTGTTTGACTGTACAGTTGATATAATTTGGAGCTGACATCCTCCTCGCTTTACTACTCTGCACATCATGTAGAATAATATCATGGATTGCGTGCTAGTCTAAAGCAGTTGCTTAAACGATCATTTAACGTCATTTTAAGCTTTCAGAAGAAGAATACAATTACATAGAATATCATACAACAATTTCTTTATGACATTCGTTTAAAACTTAATTTTGTTTTGAGTATTTTCTCAGTTACAGCAACCAATTATTCTCAGTGACTTTCTTCAGAATCTATCTATGAAATCGATGACACGCATCCGGTAAGGACGGCCACATGTATCGTTGAACATATTTTAATACATGCTCATTGAAACGAATAAGGGAACACATGAAAGTGCAAGTGTTCCTTTATTCTTTTCAAGAATTTCACCACAGTGCAAAACAAAGCTTGTGAAGAAACCTGGAAAGGAAAAAAGGAACACTTGTACTTTCATGTGTTCCCTTATTTGTTTCCATGAGTATTTACCTGTTGATCGACATCCATTAGTTGATATTAATCTACTTGTTCGTTCTCTGTTGGTCACTTTTACAAACGTGTCTATGACACAACGTAATGCCTCTTTGATTGACATCTATTAAAGCCATGTAATGTCTCAAAGATAGTTGTCTATTTAAACCCAATAATGGTTTCTATGTGATCCACGTGATGCCCAGGCTGTACGGTGAGTGAGTGAGTATTATTAACGCCGTTTTAGCAATATTACAGCAATATCACGGCAGGGGACACCAGAAATGGACTTCACACATTGCACCTATGTGGGGAATCGAAGCCGGGTCACCAGCGTGACGAGCGAACGCTTTAACCAGTCGGCTACCCCACCGCCCCTCTATGCTGTAGAAGATCGTTGGCTCGATCCCTACCGCGCCATATGGGAATTAACAGGATAAAACACGACTGGGCCGTTCTGAGTGAAGTATTAAAGTAAAACTGCAGCGTGGTGTCTCGCTAGGCTAACACTGTAGTCATATAGTCCACACACACACACGTCTTTATATACTCAGTGCCATTATTGAAGGGTCATGTGTCTTTTGCATTGATAGGAATCAGTTCAATATTATGAATATATCAGTAATGAGAAGTCAATACTGTTTAAAACCCTGTTGACAAAAGGCACCATAGAACACATTAGGCTACGCACATGTCTCAATGATTGAGAAGTTAAAGATATACAGTGTTTCAAAATTATGATCATGTTGAGAATAGTTTTGTTTCCGTGAACACTGTTAATGTCTGCATCGTGGTGGAAAGGCAGCATTTTGTCTTGTATTGCATGAGAAAGTGCGACTTCCCATGCACAGATTTAGGCTATAAATGTCAACTGTAGTCTCGTCCTGACATCATGGTTTCTGATACGAAATGAGACGTTTCCTGCAGTAGCGGAGAGGGGTCAAGCAATTGGTCTCATGCAAGCTGGTCACAGTCAACGACAAGCTGCAAATCACTTCAATGTGAGTCAGAGTGTCATTTGGAGACTGTGGCAAAGGTTTCAAGCCACGGAATCGATGGAATATGCGAGAAGACCAGGTCGACCTAGAGTTACCACTGCAAGGCAAAACAGGAACTTGGTTAACGTCACTTTACGTAACCGATTCTTGACCGCCGGTGACCTTCAGACTGAACATTACAATGTTCATGTTGTCAGGATAATCAGGAACACTATTCGACGCTGATTAAGTGCCAGTGGGCTCCGTTCAAGGCGACCAGCAGTCCGTCCACCACTTGTGCAACGTCACAGACATGCACGTTTAGCCTTGAGCAGACGTCACGGACGTTGGAATCAACGTCAATGGTCGACCATGCTCTTTACAGATGAAAGCCGGTTTAATTTGTATTTTAATGATGGTCTTCGGAGAATATTCCGCAGAAGAGGTGAACGGTTCACTAATGCTACAGTTGTCACACACAATAGGTTTGGTGGCGGGTCAGTCATGGTTTGGGCCGGTATCATGGCTACAGGAAGAACCCAGCTTCACATTATTGATGAAAATTTGACTGGTCAGCGGTATCGAGATGAAATCTTGATCCCCTTTGCTATTCCCTTTTAGCAAGCTATGCATGGATTTTATGGTCGGGATCCTCTTCTACAGGACGATAATGCCAGACCTCACAGAGCCAGGATAGTCACTGATTATCTTCAGCAACAGGGTGTGGAACGGATGGACTGGTCGGCATGTTCACCAGACCTCAATCCAATCGAGCATGCATAGGATGAACTTGGCAGACGTGTTTACAGACGTCACCCTGCTCCACAAGATCTACAGTGTCTTCGGAGAGCTCTTGTGCAAGAACAGGAGGCTGTTCCACAGGCATTCCTCATAAACTTGATCAGAAGAAGAAGAAAAGAAGATTGTTTATTATCAGAAGCATGAGGTCTCGGTCTAACTCTGTCCAGGACCAGAGAGGCGGCTACACAATGTACTGTTTGGTCATGGACTCTATTGTTATGACTTTCCGTTTTGGGGGTATCCCTTTGTTTGATGTCCGTATAGATACAGTCGTGATCCTTTTCTCACAACTTAGCACTGAACACTTCCCTCAGTTAATAAACTATCTTAAACTATAATCTTGTCACAGCATACTTTATTTTACATTATGTTATCTTATAGCTGCATGACCCCTCAATAATGGCACTGAGTATATAATTGCAATAATCGTGAACGTGTCTTCAAACCCCATATAGGGGCGGTGGGGTGGTTGAAGCGTCCGCTTGTCACGCTGAATACCCGGGTTCGATTCCCCACATGGGTACAATGTGTGAAGCCCATTTCTGGTGTCCCCTGTCGTGATATTGCTTGAATATTGCTAAAACCGGGTAAACCATACTCACTCACTCACTCCCTCACTCACTCCAGGCCTATATCATCTCCACTCGTTTGGAGAGTCATGTAATGTATCGCCAATGGGCATGAACAAATTCTTGATAACTGTTGTTTGATTGGCACCATTATGTCGGTTAGATGATCGATTTTAAATAATGAGCTTTTTAAAAAAAATGATTAATTCTATTATTTTTACCACTTTAGCGAGTGAATATATATTTATGTCATATTTGGTGCACTTATTTGAAAAGGGGAAATATTGCTAAAAGCGGCTTAAAACTAAACTCAGTCAGTGAAAAGGGGAAGCGTAAATTTAGGTGCGGTAAATATATATAAATATAACAGACCTGTATATCAGTATATGGTACGATACCAGAAAGATTGTTTGAATGGACAACAAGAGCAACGGTAAGTGTATCTGGGCACCATCTGAAGTCATGCGTGCAAATCGATCTACGCAAATGGGATACGATGGCATGTGTCTCCAAGCCAACGAGCCTGACCACTCGATCCCGTTAGTCGCCTTTTACAACAAGCATGGGTTGCTGAAGATCAATTCTAACCCGGACCTTCACGGGTGCAAGTGAAGTATTCACCTGGGTAAACACGTTAAAATACAGTACATGCAAACTTCGGAAATTATAGACTTTTAGACTTTTAGACTTTGAATGGCATTTAGAAGTGCTACACATAAAAGGTGGAAAGTTTGGGATGTCAGCTTATGTATATAATCTGAGGAACAACGTTTCGGTGTGTTCTTATAAATCTTCAACTTTCTTTTTGGTCACTGATGCGTGAAACACAGAAATGTCTTCCACTATCTACCATTTGACGTTTTGGCATCATTTCTAAGGTCTTGAATGCTGTAAACCTGATCAAATCATTTTCATCAGGAAAGTTTACTATTGGAAAGTTGAAGTCATCCATCTTGTCATATAGTCTAGGGGAGAGTGTGTCGTCACTACCGTGACAGATGCTGCTGTTTTATTGGACTTCTATTTCTAGTTCGGGTGGGGACATCAGAGGAAGAGAATGACCTCTGTGACCATCACTGATCGATATCAGATCAAAATTGTGCCCTGAAGATTAATCTAAACCTTTTGGCCTCTTAACCTTGTTTTGATAGTACCAACCCTAGCACCACTGGTGCCCATTGGGATGTCTATTTCTTGAGTAACGTCACATCCTAAATTTCACAGCATCTCGGTTATTCTTTTGTCAGAAAACAGTATAGTGTTTGCTGCCATATGGACAAATCGTCGTGGGCCCTGGAAGATTGAGACGTAATTATCTCTGCGCTATACATGTATATGGTCATCGTGATTAGTTTCATGGAGGGGCGGTGGGGTAGCCTAGTGGTTAAAGCGTTGGCTCGTCACGCCGAAGACCCGAGTTCGAATCCTCACATGGGTACAATGTGTGAAGCCCATTTCCGTGATGTTGCTGGAATATTGCTAAAAGCGGCGTAAAACCAAACTCAGTCAGTCAGTCAGTTTCATGGATGAACTGGTGGCTGATAATAGAATGGGTAGGGCTTATGTTGTAAATTGTTGTGTTTTGTTTTTATTTTTATTATTATTATTTTTTGCTTGTTGTTGGCTTTACTTTTTATTTATATCTGTTTTACTTATTTATTTATTTTGGAGGGAGAGAGGAGGGTGTGTGTTTTGTTTTGGTTTTTGTTGGTTTTCGTATTTGTGTGGATAGGTATATGTGTACGTGTTGGGACATACAAAGTAAAACTATTACGTTCTGAACGTGTGTCAATACGAGCATATGTATTTCACCTGTCTGAGACTTTGTTTTGTTCGTGCACTTTTGAATAATTATTGCCTGCGCCGAATGAGTTGTACTCACAAATCACCAATATAAAACATGACGTAAATGGTTTGATACGTATCTATGTTTTTGTAAGAAATCGTGTAATGTGTATCCTTGAAAAGCAGTAATAAACCCCGCCAATATTCGTCGGATGTAATACCAACA